TTAATAAATGTTTTGTTTTGATATATAAGTTGTTCGGGTTTTTTCATATAAAAAAAAGCGACATTGATTTCTTGACGACCTAATACCTAACACATCATAAGATACGAACAACAAGGGACTAGTTGGTCCTTCAAAGTTGTCTTTGCACAGCCACCATAGAGAAAAGTAAGAATTTAAATCCACCCTTTATTTTTCAGGAAAACATCGATTACCCTCTTTTAAACTCCTTGAAGTGCCGACCTCCACTTCTGCCGATTGAATATCATTCCATAACTTAATAAATCTATTAAAAAGTAAAACTATCTTAATTGGAGCTTCAGCTGTCGTTTTTTTTTCTTTTTTGTTGTTTTGTTTTGCTTTGTTTTGTTTTTTCAACCCTTATACGTGTGTTCTCTTGTCCTATTATTTCAGGAACCTTTGTCACATCGATCGATCCCTGGATAATCTTCTAAACTTCAATGAGATAATCTCTAACCCTTCTTTTATCAAAAGCGCAAGTTAAGAGCGTTCTTGGCCTACCCTTTTAAGATAATCCCAGCATTCCTGGAATCATCCTGTAGTAGCCCTCCTCTGAACCCTTTCCAGTAAGTTAACACCCTTCCTTAGATATGGAGACTCAAACTGTATAATGTATTCTGAGTGAATTATTTGTATGGAGAACTATCTACCTCTTTTGTCTTGCAATCAGTATGTCAATAAATATACTTTAAAATTATGTAAGCTTTGCCGCTACTAGTAACAGATCACTGCTTCGATGGCTTTAATGATTTATCCACTATTAGACCAAGATCATTTTCTTATGTCATGCTGTTAAGTGGGTTCCCATTAATATTAGACATATGATCCAAATTATAACCCAAATAAATTACCTTTGACATATTATAATTTAATTTAATTTGTAAAATATTTGTATAACTTGCCAGTTAATCCAAGTAATACTGTAGTACTTCAACATCCTTAGTACATCTGAAAATACTCAAGAGTTTGATGCCATCAGCATACTTTTCTTATTTAATAATTATGCCCCAATTAATGTCAATAATGTCAATAAGAAAAAGAAAACACCCAAACACTGATTCCCTGAAGCACTCCACTGGCGACGAGCGTTTGAACTTCATTAATGACAACCTTTTGCTTTCTCCCATCAAATTACAACAAAATTCACTTAATTAGTCCTTCCACACACACCCTATCAAAAACGTTTTGGAAATCTATGCCGTATCTATGGTCTGGATTACAAGTAACATCTTCTAAAAAAGGTAACAGATCAACAAGGTAAGATATCCCTTTGGTAAATCTATGTTTCCTTCTTTTTCTTTTTGGTGTCATCTTTCATTAAATGATTTTGTAAAGATTATTTTATCAGACTCTTTATAATTTTTCCCATTAAAAATATAAGACTAACTGGACTATAATTTCCGCCACCCCCCCCCCCCCAGTGGTACAGCGGTATGTCTGCGGACTTACAACGCTAGAATCCAGGTTTCGATACCCGTGGTGGGCAGAGCACAGATAGCTTTGTGTAGTTTTGTGCTTAATTCCAAACAAACCTATAATTTCCAGGGTAACTTTTAAAACATTTAAAATAGCAGTAACATTATCAACTCTCCAATCCTTAGGAATGAGCCCGCTGTCTATTGAGGAACTAAAAATAAAATTGAGAGGTTCAAATATCTGACCTTTTAGCTCATTTCAAACCCTGGGAAAATTTTCCTTGGCCCTGTTGCTTTATCATTAATATCTCAATTCTTCTACTGAGAACAACGATTAATATGACCAGTGATGTAGAACTAAATTTAGAAATAAAGGATCATCACGGCTTCCCTGGCTACTGTGTTTATAACTTAATTGGAAATTAAGACAATCATTGCTTTGGACATATTATTGTAAAACAAGATAAGATTTCTTTCAGCTAATGATAAAAACTTAATTTTATATAAAATGTTCCATATTACAGAGACGTTTACCATCCCATCGATCGACGTTTGAATGTATAAGAAAGTAACACAGAAAATAATCTACATTTAAAGTATGGAAGTGGCGCTTTCTCTGCACATGAAGTGAGAGGTCGGCGCACCTTCGCGACCTCGCAGGACTATACCAGTGTAATAACTACAAGATTAAAGTCAATTCCAATATTTCCTAAAGAATGTGCAGGTCAGGAATACTGCTAGTGAAGAAAAACACTTAAAAGTTCAGCCATCTCATAGTCTTCAACGAAAATCTTGCCATTAGCATTCTTTAAGGACCCAATGCATACTTTATCGTAATGTCTACATTTTAGATACTTTTAAGATCTCTGCAGTCAATTTTAACATTATCAGTCACCTGTTTCTGATACATCTTTTTAAATTTCATAATTTCTTTTTAACCAAATCCCCAACTTTCCTACATTTTTCTAAATCTTCCAACCTATCTGTCAGTTTAAATTAATTTAAATTTCTTAAACTTATTGCATTTATCCCTGATATTCTCCTTTATGTCTTTAATAAGCCAATTATGTTTAATCTTCCCTGTTATGCATTTTCTCATTTTAAGAACGTGCCAGTATTGAACTAAAAGCACCTAATTTCTTTAATTTTTCAAATGTGTCCCACATCACCTTTTAATTCATTACCCCAATTAACTAATGATAGATTTTGTCTCATGGTCTTGAAATTGGCTCCTTGAAAATTAGAAACTAAAATTACATTTAATTTTATATAAACTTGTAGCAAGACATAAAACCTAATTATGCAATGATCACATTTCCCCAAATGTTTTTGCATTTCAACTTTGGCATCCATATCCTCAGTAATGGTCAGCAATAAATCTACAATGGCATCCCCTTCTCCGGCTGGCTCTCTGGTTGTTTGGTATAGAAAATCATTCTGTTTCACTTCAATAAATTTCCCTCCCTCATTATTTGTCTCCATAGAACTCCAATAAGTGTCTGAAATTAGTCACCCATAATTATTGCATCAGTATTCTTATTAGTAATAATCTCATTATACAACTTTTCATTGACATCATCTGTCTGATCAGGTGGCCTATGGCAATTGCCAACATTCTACTATTGAAACTTTTTAGATTCCACTTCTTGACTACAATTTTTATCTCTTCAATTCCAACAGGCTGCAGTTCATTCTACCCCTTTTTTATGAAGGCTGTCACTATCAAATATCTTAGAACCCAGAATTTCAAAATAATTCATATTACCAATGTTCTCCAAATCTAACCAATTTCCATTATATCAATGTCTTATTGTTAAAACTAGAATACTGAACTCATCCATCTTGTTCCTAAAGGTCTTAATATTAGAAAAATAACAACTAAATTAATTTTTAAATATACTATAATTATTTTTAAATCTGACAGACTTATCTTTAAGACTATTACTTAACTTGTTATGGTCGAAATCTCCAATTTTCATCCTCCACGTTATTTATTCTCAATTTCCCATGCTCTTTCACTACTATTCAAATTTAGTTGAAACTATATTTGATATGCTCTGAATACTTTGTGCTGTGTGTTTTTATTTCAGAATAGCTAGAACTAAGTGCAATAATTTTCTAGCATGCATCTTTACCTCAAGATAACTAGAACTAAGCGGTCTGAATGCATTTCTGGATTGTGTTTTTATCTCAGAATAGCTAGAACTAAATGCTAGGAATTCATTTCTACTATATGTTACATCTCAGGATGACTAGAATTAAGCGCTTTGAATACCTGTCTAGTATGCGTTTTTATCTTAAAATAACTAGATCTAAGCTGGCATATCTAGAAGTAAGCGCCCTAATTGCCGTTCTACTGTATAGTTTACCTCAGAATAGATAGAGCTAAGTGCTTTGAATGCCTTTTTACCATATGTTTTGTCTCAGAACAGCTAAAACTAAATGCTCTGAATACATTTCTACCCAGTGCTTTGTCTCAGAATAACTAGAAGTAAGCTTTCTGAGTGCCTTTCTACAATACGTTTTATCTCAGAATATATAATTAAGTGCTCCTAATGCCTTTCTGCTATACCTTGAGTCTTTCTCAGAATAGTCAGAGCTAAGTGATCTGGATACCTTTCTGTCCGTTATTTTATCTTTGAATAATTAGTGCTAAACGATCTGAATGCCTATATACCCTTTGTTTTGTCTCAGAAAAGCTAAAGCTAAGTGCTCTGAATACCTTTCTACCCTACAATGTATCATAACAGCTAAAAGTAAGCTTCCTGATTGCCTTCCTACCATACATTTTATCTCAGAATATGTAGTTAAGTGCTCTGAATGCTCTTCTACCATATATTTTGTCTCAGAACAGCTAGAGCTATACAATCAGAATACTATTCTACCCTATGTTTTGTCTCAGAATAGTTAAAGCTAAATGCACTGAATACCATTTTTCTTTATGTTTTGTGACATTACAGCTTCCATCAAGGTCCATTCAGAAATGTTCCCACTGAGTCAGCTGTAAGTTCGATTCTCTAAGGTGAACATAGCACACACACAAATCATTGTGTACTTTTCACTAAAACAACAAGGAAAGCTGTCAGATTTATACTTGCTTATAAGGAAAAGGGCGAACTAAATGTCCGACAGTTGGGAAGTGATAAATATAAATAATGTCAGGCGTAGTGTTCAATAAACAATACACTTCATTAACAGTAATGCATCACTATCTAGGCATGTGTTTTATATATAAAGATTGTGTAAATTATTTCGGATATTTCAACTTAGTGATTCATAAGCGATGAAAGAGCTTGAGTGTGTGGGGACATGTCCGGTGTTATTTTCTCATGCTTGATCAGACCAAACAGCACTACGTCTCTTATCGCCCTTCCCCACCCCTCTTGACACAAATCTGATTACATGCAATCATCAGAGCAATTGTATCAACCCAACCAAGCGCTAGTTATGAGGTCCTCCCAACTTGCTATAGTCACTAACAGGTGGTGATGACATCATTTATATGACGTCACTCTTACGGGTGGACTTGGCTTCCTGTGAACAGTTTCCTGAACTAGACTGGGCGGAGGCTGACGGTCTGGAACACGCACAGTCAACGCAAGATTGAACTAAACCCAGTGTGCATTCAGAACCCACAAAAAGGTGCAGGATAGCATTATTTGTGCTCGGAGGGTAACATTACTTAGAAGATTGTGCTGAAAAGTTGTAAAACCAGTAAAACGTATTTCTGAAGACCCGAAGTAGAACATTTTCAGTATAGAAACAAAAGAAACCCAAAATCGGGTATGTAAGCTATCTAAAGCTTTGTTCATACTTTTAATGGAGGTTAACTTTTCAGATTAGATAGGGCTTAGATAAATAAATCGACGCAGTAGATACAAATTGATAGAAATATGCAACTATCAAGTTAGCATAGAATCTTTCTGCCAGATTCTTTCTGAATAAGTATATATATATCTATATAGTTACTACCGTAGCTAGATAAAGTTAGGCTTAGGTTATTTATAAACAAGTAGTCAAATTATTAATATGGGGTTAAATTCTAACATGAAACTACTGTGTAACATAATCGATAATAACTCTGTTCCAATCTCATTAAAAATGTTTTCGAATCTCTGAACTTTTCTTTTAATTCATTATTACTTCACTCACAATTTCGAGATCGCTTTTAACTTAAAACCAATCTACTCTTCTGCTGTCTGCGTATAAGTTTGTTTTATCGAAAGTTCACACATAAAAACACCGAATTAAACTTCATAGACAACTAGAGGTAAAGAATTTAAAGATAATGGCATTCTCGGCCTTGAAATTAAGTCGGTTTTCCCCCATTTTCTGAAATCGGAGCGAAGCGCAAAAGCAACCTTCTGGGCCGCCCAGACAGTCCGAACTGGCCTTGAGAGTATGAAACAAGAGAATAACCTAAGTTGTGGTTCCTAAATGCGTTGTCGGTTTCGTTTAATCAAAGTTAATTTCTTATTGCATTGGTACAAATGAACAGAATGGTTTGCAACGAAATGTGTCCCCCTGTAGGTCAGCGATAAGTCTCCGGACCTACAACGCTAAAAACCGCGGTTCGATTCCCCACATTATACTAAAAACCAGCAATAACCAAATTTCATATTTTTCTCAGTTCGGTTTCAATATTAGTAGAGTTTTACATCAAACACTTATATTAAAAAATAACTGTGTAATTATCCATCGAACATAGAGATAGATCCATAAGATAAACATTGGCTTTATATAAGTTATTAATTTATCTCGATTCAAAATTGTTTGATATTCTTTCATTTCCCCTCAACTGTGTTACTTATAGGTAAAATTAGGAGATTATAGAAAAAAAGTACTTTATCAAGACTAGTATAAAATTACATTGAAATTATATAATTGTTGCTATTATAGATCACTATTATGGCTGCGATCAGTGTTTTTAATGATTAATTAATGTTAATTTGCAATTTAATCATTTCTGAAGTTTATTTTAAAGAAAGTCGTTGGTTCAATCTCTTTATTCCTGTAAACAGTGATAAATTCGTGAATGTTTAGAGTGTTAACTTCTAAAATACTCGTACACAGCCATTGTATTTCAAGAGCATGTATAAAAACCTTTATCTGGCACAAGAGTGACATATAGTTAGACACCAAGGATAATATGTGTACGTGTATGAATATGTATTCTTAATTTCATAGAATACTAACTGGAGTTTCTAACTTTTCATGCTTATAATGAATGCACAAATGACTTCTTTCTCCAAATAAAAATGTATTTAATGCTTAATATTTCGCCTTACGGTTTTATTTACAAAACAAGAACAATTGTTTATGTATGTTGTAGATAGCTCTTGCAGAAGTTGTATATAAACAAAATATTGAGCATTAACAAGTTTTTATCTGAAGAAAAAGCCTTTTGTGTATTCACTATATTGAATATCGTTCGATCATCTTACTATTTACAAAATGAAAGTAACTAACTATAAACGGTCGTATATTATTACTTGAAGATTTTGACATAGCAAAAGAACAACGTTGATTAGTTTTCGATTTTATTGTCTGTATGATATGTTTTAGTTTTGTAAGTCCTCTCTACTAGAGAAGAAACCATTATGGGTCAGATAGTTTCTTCATCTTAGCTTATACACCTGTTAGAAAACACACATTTCACACGAGGGATTTATTGTTTATTTTTGAAAAACAGAGCGATATGTCCGGGGTGAAACTAAATACATATTTGTGTTTTACTTAGTCTATTATGGTTGTATCAGAACAGTAAGCTTTATTTGAGTATATGTTGCCAGGCGACAGTTTTACCCGCAAGATCTCCAGGTTTAAGACCACAACACATTCCTTCCTTTTGTGGGGACGTCATTTGTATTTACAGCACGTAAATCTACCCCATGTCAAAGCATGCTTGTTGCCCCTACCTGTCTCAGATGCCCGTCTTCTCGCATTTACGAGGTGCCGCCTTTATAGGGCGGTCACAGGGTTAGTCAGAAGTCTGATCTTAAAGAGGCAAATGTTCTTGTTACTTAGGTTAGCAACTTGTTCATCGAGGTCTACATGTACTGGTTTGCTAGAGAAAACCGGTTATCACACTGTAAGGGGACTATCTTTCTCAGATAAATCCACTCGCATAAACAGCATAAGTATGGTTAATCGTGACGTCTCTTGAAATATCAAAGAAAAATACCGGAATTACGATATCGCCAAAAGTTGACAGCAAATTATAAATGCGCCCTCTTCATCATTGTGTTTGTAAGAACGGCTAACATGCCTAATACGGTGATTTTCTCAAATAAATAATAATGTTCACTTATCGTTTCTGATATGAAAGTCTCAATCATATATAGTAACAAGAACTTCTTTTTTTAAATATAGAGAAGTTTAGTGCCCCCAGTGGCTCAGTAGTAAGTCTGAAGGCTTATAACGCTAAAACCGTGTTTCGATGCCATTAGTGGGCACAGCACAAATAACCCATTGTGTAGTTTTGCGCTTAACAACAAAAAGTTTAATGATTTCTATACTCGTTTGTGATGCTTATAACTTGAATATTCGTAGAAAATAATTCAAACTAGTTTTTGTATTGAACCATTAAAAACTTATTATAAACGTACGTTTTGAAACGTTTATTACGTCTACTACAAGTAGATTAAACAACAGCTCTTTGCAAGTTCTTCCCAGTCTTTAGTTTTCACCAGATGTAACTAAAATGCCCAAAAACTACCAAGTATAATTGAATGGTGTTATAAAAAGAAAGAGTGGAACGTTATATACTTAGCTACAATTGTATTTTATTCTAACTAATTAAAAGTGTTGAGAATCAATATTTTTTAGTTCATTGTAATTATTTATTTTGAAAATTCAAACATCTGTACGAACTTGGATATTTCTTGTATCCTCACGTAATAAATATCTTGATAACAAGCTCGAAATTTTCGGTTACAGGTGTTTTCATTTATATAGAACCTACCTGGTCATATTCCACAACTAATACTAGTGAGATGCTATTGATACCGTAGAAAGTTAATAAATATAACTGATATTTTTTCGTTTCTCTTATTATTGATATATAGTAACGTGTGCTAAACATCCTGTAAAAACTTCACAAGTTTTGAAATTGCACTTTGTTGTCCTATGTAATTTAACATATTTATTGTTTATAATTACGCTGAAACTGATTCACACTTCCTTTTCAAATTCGAATGAATAACAAATTTGTGCAAATGTATTGCTTATTTGTTTGCTTAGAATTTTCGCGCAAAGCTATACAAGGGCTATTTTAACATAGCCGTCCTTAATTTTGAACTCATAGACTAGAGAAAAGGCAACTAGTCAACAGCATTCACCGCCAACTGTTGGGATTTGACTGTCACTCTTATAGTGCCTCAAAATGCATAATGCCTTTTTGCTGTAACGAGATACGAACCATAGTCTCTCAGATCCATAATCCAGGCACGCTAATTACTAGGTCATGCACGGTCAAGGTTGGACAAACAAAACAAATTGGAAATGTCAAAACCCGTGTGGATATCAGCTTGTCTCTATTCAAACTTAACCCTTTTTTTAACAGGGTGCTAAGACAGTTCAGATTCTATAACTATACTGTGTTTACTTGGTTAGCTATTAACAAATAAAAAACTCTTTGAGGCAGTGCCTGGAATTTGATCCTCTTTTTTTTTTTAGTAAAGGCTGGTGTGCTCTAAAGTTGGAGACCTTTATTTTGCTCGATAAAATTTGACAAACCTTCCTGTTTTAAAATAATGGATTATTTATCCCTGTATTTACTAGTGAGCTGCTTTATTTAGTAAAAAAGTTTCTTTAGTGTAGTTAGTGGGTTATTTTGGCTTAAACTACAGTAATGTCATAATTTATTTACATTTTTGTATTTCAGGAGTGAATTGCTTTGGTTTACTCACCAACGGTTGAGCCCTCCAACGCTTATTCTATAGTGGTTTGTTCTAAGCAATTTCATACAGTGATTTACTTTGGCTTGTCTTTGTATTGAAGCATTACATGTTTGTTAAATGTATTTTGACAATGCCATAATTATCTATAAATATAACTTATAATATTTGTGAAAAAGATATATATATATATATATACATAATTTGTGATTTATCTTGCCCTCTTAGTCATTTCTACTTTCTTAAATACTCTTTTTATCTTCAGCATTAACAGGACTGGAAGAATCAAGTACTTAAACGGACTTCAGTTTTCGTAAATCAGCGTGGATAAAATGAAGAATCCCCGGCTACCCGGGGCAGATAAGTTCAAATTTTCTGCAGAATGTAATTACCCCTTATCTGCTGACAGCTCTGAAACAGATGGGAGCGCTTCGCCTTCTTTGTTCGTCAGGGGTCGTCCTGGTCGTAGTAGTTGTCCTCCTTTATCAACCATGTCTTCTCAGGGATTTAGTCGCAGTGACATCAGGAGAAAACCTGTACTTCCAATCACCAGCAAAAAAACATCCCGTGTGTTAAACAACACAAATATGGAGCTTAATGTAGACACGGTAGACACAAGAACTGAAGATGGCTCGTCTGATATTGACCATGATCTAACAAAAACTTCTAGGCCTCCATCACAGTTTCCAATTCCGTTAAATCCAATGGAACCAACAGATGTGTTAAGCGAAGGGAGGAAAATTTCACTTCCCATGTTCGGAAGTTTACGTTCAAGTACAAGAAATGATAAATCACCAACCTTCATTGATAGAAATATCCATTCCAAGAGCGTTTCGAAAAGTCCTGATTCTAATTCTTCTCGCATGATGTCACACTTAGCCTCACAAAGACAGAATGATAAATCATTTAATTGGATGAACTACAGGTCATCCACAAGTTCATCCAGATTGTCGATGTCATCTCAGAGTTCATGTGCAAGCGAGGACGACATATGGGTGCTTAGGAAATAGAAATCCATACAAATTAGTAATACCTTAAAGGGGAATCTCAAATATTTGTGATGGAAAAACATTGTATCATTCTGTTTGGTCTGTTAGTCACATCAGCGGGCTGATGGAGAAAAGGTATATGTATGGAAGTTGTACTGGCTATATTTGGTGCTACATTGTACATTCCAGTGACCCTGTTTTAAAGTAAAGAAAATTCCTTTCATTAAGTTGAGAGGATACAGATACAAAAGAAATTTATTTTTACTCTTTATATATGTGTGTATATTTCCCAGTTCACTTAACATGTCTTACGTGGGATAACAAAAATGATTTACGTTTATGTCCAGTTCACCTTCTTAAGATTTTTGGAATGAAATTATTAAAAATTTCGCAGAAACTTTTACTGAAATAAAGCCTCAAACGTTAGTACTCTAGTAAATTGACCAGAAAAACAGCTATTGTGAATAAAGCTCTGTTGTCTTTAATTTGACGATTTTGTTTTTTATTGCTTCTGAAAGTAAAATTAAACCTATTATATTTTTGTAAATTATTATATTTTCGTGATAAAATGAACTGAAAATTACTTTTTTAAGTTGGTTTGTGTAATTTCTAAATCTATCTATATATATATAAGCGAAATGCGTGATGTTTCTTAGCATCCAAGGGGTACGCTTTTCTTTATTAATATTTTTTATTACTCGTGATTATGACAGTCTTGTAAAAATTTATACAATTTTTAGCGCGTCGTACATTTGTTTTCTTTAGCCTTGATGATTTTATCAAAAAAATAAATAAATGTATTAAAACAGAATGATTTTTTTTCATAATTATTTAATTAAACGTATTCTCATAGAAAATTTCTCTTGGGTTTATCTTTGTTTGTTTGAAGTTAAGCACAAAGCGTTGTAAGCCCGTAGACATGCCGCTGTGCCACTAGGGGGTGTCCTCTTGGGAAAGATGCAATAACAAATAAAATTCATTATGACTTTATCAGTTGAGATCTGTTTGATTAATACTTGTTTAATTGGTAACTGATATTTCAATACCGCATTTCTTTTATGAGATAATACTTTGAAATATCTACTTTTTATTAATTTCAATTATCATTCTTAATACCATTGTCATAACAATAATCATAACTATAGGAAACACTTTTGAGCTCAAAATAACAATAAGAAAGTAAATGTAATTAAATCGTTTAACTAGATAATCATATTATTCGTGGAATTATCATAGTGAATTTTTACAAAATTACAATGTAGGCGTAATTGGAGAAAGTTGTGCATTTAACAGTGTAATTAACAATATAAAAATGTTGTTTTTTCTTTCCAATTCTAATACATACTCCGTTGTATTTAACCAAATATTATTTATTTTGTTCTTACATATCGGGCGAAAAGAAGATAACTGAACAATAATTATTGTTGTGTGAAAGTTTAACATTTTTTTCCAATATATCACTTCCCTTGTAATTTATCTAAAATGTACATAGTTATAGAAATCTGCTATATTCTGGAAATATATTTATAATTTCATTTATCTATTCTTGAATACTTACTAAACATTCCAATATCTGTCTTTAATCTCAATCTATTTTTACCATGTTCATTAAAATTATGAAAATATATAGTTTGTTTTTACATCATCAAGACGTCCTTATGATCACTTTAGAAAGACTGTTGAACACCCTACACATTTACTTCACTTGATTTATTCTTTTAAATTTCTGTTAATAAAAACCCCATTGTATTTTGTAGAAGTTTCCACTGATCTTAAATGTAGCTATCTATTAAAGTGAAAGTCCAAACAAAAGGCAGAGGTATACACATAATTATTAGCTGGCTTCTGTCAATTTTGTTGTGTAATATTTTATGCATTTCTTGGATTAGGTGTTAGTTATGATTACTAACATATATTAACATCAACATTTTGACATTTCACTTCAGCAGAATGTTTTTACTCTTATCTTACCACATCACAAAGTTCAATTGTACTAGCACAGATAGCCCATTATGTAGCATTGCGCTTAACAACAAATAAACCAATCAACCGATTTAGTTAGGAGTCAGAGAGTATATAGGAGGAACGTTTGTCTTTATTCGAATACAAAAGTGACTAAGTTCAAGTTTGAAAATAATTTATTACATCAACAGTTCATGTTGTACCTTTATAAGAATATATGATATACAAACAAGACTCAAACCGACACGTTAATGTAACAAATTACTTTTAAATTTGAAATGCGTCGACTTTCTATACAAACAAAGACAAATGTCTAGAATAAGTCAGTTACTATCTTCTGAATTATCTTTTAAGATATTGCCAAGTTCAGTTCTTTTAACGATAACGAATTAATTTATTTCTTCAATGACGTTTGCTATAGGCTACGTACACATTGACGTAAATTGTAGAGATAAGTTTAGAAACACACTTTGAAACTACTCTAGGCCTAAGTCACTAATAACGTTTAACAGAAATTTAATCGATTGGTAACAAAATTAACTTATTCATCAAATTTACTCGATCAAAAACTACCCGATCTTTCACACATCGAATACTTCGTTGAATTTTCAACCACTTCTCAATATATAGTTCACTCACTGCTTACTCATGTTTATAAACAATGTACTCTCATCTAGATATTAATCGAAGCTACTAGTGTCTTGACGTTATCTCGAATTTTCTAGAATCTAAGAAGTTAGTTTTATGAAGTTACTTAATCTTACCATCATGTGTCCACTAGCTAACATCTAAATTGGAATATTAACAATACAGCTTACAACAATATCATCATCCATAACAATATAACTAATAAGAATATGATAATAATTATTAATTATAATTATGCTTTGCTGGCTTAGAAAGGGCGTTTGTGCGATAACAACACAAAATATATGTATTTAAGCTGGGTAACAATATTGAAGTGATTCAATCAAAATATATTATTCTTTTTTAAAATTGGACCTTCCAAAATGCATACCTCCCAGAGTGTGACCTATTACAGAAAAGAGTATCGTGAAGCTTAAAAACAATGTTCACAGGATTTTAAATAGTTTTAGAAATTATCATGTAAAATTTAATACTTCAAAAAACGAATGGTTAGCCATCAACGAGTTAAAAACGAACGATCAAGTAATTGTTAAAGTGAGCGACAAATGAAAAGGTTTTGTTGTAACGAATACATCCAGCTACATGGAAAAAAATTAAGGTACATATCGATGATACGTCTAGTTACGAAGCAATTAAGAAAGACCTTACAAAAGAACTGGAAAGTTATGCTAAAAACATTTTGGGGCAATTTAAAAGCAAAACTACTATACCCATGCGACTTCTTGATAACGTTAGGTCATCTCATTCAAAATCCCCTGAACTGTATGAATTATCCATAGATCATACACCCCTAAGACCCATAGTCCCCATATGCATCTCTCCTTTAGCGTCTGTATCATGTTAACTCGTCCTCTCCTCTACTAAATACCTTCACACCTTAATAGTACCGATGACTTTCTCAACAGGTTATGCAGAGATGATTTACAGATAAATTCGAACAATATCCTCTTTACTCTTGATGTCGTTTCTATGTATCCTTCCATTTCAATAGGAGAAAGTATAAGCTCGGTTATGAATCTTTTTAGATCGACCAGCTGTTATACTACCATTGATATTCTATAGAAGTCATTGAAAATTCTCTCAGATTTATTCTCAACAACTGTTACTTCAAATTGGATTCAGCTCTCTACAAACAAAAGAAAGGCATCGCTATAGGCAATAATATTGCTGTTGTTGTGGCCTCTATTTTCATGCATTTCTTTGAATCATAAGCTCTTACTCAGTGGAATTTTGAAACTAACCTTGAACCAACTAGATGGTACAGATATATTGATGACATTTTCGGTATATGGAACCATGGATTCCCTTCTCTTTTGGAATTGGTTGAATTCCTTAATAATCAACACTCCGACATAATGCTCATGCTTACTCATACCGATAATGTCCAGAAATATAGACCCTTTCTTGGTACCATGGTCTGTATCGTAAACAACAAACTTGTTATTTCCGTATATTCTAAACCGCATGCTAAACCTATTATTCTACATTATAAACCCACACCAGCTACCAAACGAGGTGTCATTATCGGTCAACTTAGTAGAACTGAGAAAATCTGCAACACCATGGACGGTAAGACGCAAAGCAGGATCAAACTTCAATGGCTACCAGTATAGTTACATTACTAAGACATTTTACAGTTTTGACTCACAAGATATTAACAAACGACATCAAACAAAGATGCTATCACATCAAGACACTGTTTCGTCAAGCGATTAGAAGATCTCGTTTGAATATCAAAATCATACAAAAACCTGGTAAAAACTGAAGGATATACTCATTCGTTCAGCCTTTAATAACGACAATACATGTAAATCCAAAATGTGTTTTGCAAAGACGAATGGCTTAGAGAAGTCATGCACACTTAAAAACACTGTCTATGAACTTACATGTACACAGTGTTTGGCCACATATATAAGTGAATCCAATCGTTCAATATACGATCGTTTCAAATAACATATTCGTGCCACTGGAAATCTTGACAACAAAGAAGCTACTGCTGAACGTTACTTAAAAAACACGGCACAATCAACATTTTAGAAACTTGTGACAATTTCCTCGACAGAAAATACAAGGAATCACTTTTGATTCAATCCAGACGCCATTCCATTAATAAGTACAATGCCTAACCCCTTGAACATTTTATTATCATTATTAATTCTATCATTATGATTTTATCTATTTTTATGATATTATTATCATTTTCTCTATCTTTATGATCAACGACTCAAAACTGTTCGACTATATCACGTACACTTTTCCGTTATATTGTTGTAGTTATATTTCGTTTTCGGTTACTGTTTGGTAACCTGTGATGTTCATAGACCCTTGATAAAGGCGTAAGCCGAAATGTCGGGTACAACTAATTAAACACTTTTCTAAAGTTGTTTGTCATCTTCATTAAATATTGATTCAGTCAAAATTTAAAATGCAACAGAACCTAACATACCGACATCACAAACTGAAGTCCAGACACCATGACATTTATAAGAAACTACATGTAACACATACCTTTAACAAAAATAAATTTAAAAAATAATAATACGTGTTAAAAATAAGTATAAATTCCACATTTTTACAGGTTGAAACTGTATAGAAAAGTAAAGTATGACTCGTTTTCACGAACTACGAAACATTGACCTTTCAGACAAAAGTAAACTATAACTCTTTTGCTTTTACCAGTTATACATTGAACTTCAAAACAAACCCAACATGAAAAAACAGTACGAGCAAAAACATCTTTAATACGGACGTTTCGGAATTTCTTTAAATTCCATCATCAGCGTTAATATCTCAAAAAATGTTAGTTCATAATACTTGAACTACAAAAAGCAACATTAAAATTGAGCGAGTTATTGTTTTCGTTCTTTCTAAACTT